GAAAGAAGAGTGTTAAATATTAAAAAAAAAAAAAAAAATCGCATTAAAAAATTCAAAAATCCAAACGATCTTGATTACAGGTAGAACTAAAGAAATGTAGGGATAATTATTCTTACGTTAATATCATCGCCAACGGAGCTAATTTCTTTGTTGGCCTTTTTCCCCAACCAGTACGAACCCACCTTGTTCAATACCTGATCCATCTATACACAAATAAAATTTATATATCTGTATATGGATGTCAGAACAATCTGCTGTGTAGAGATTGTACTTTGATGCGAAGAAAAAATTTCCTCAATCTCTTTTAAGCCCTAATTTCAGAGCTTGAGAGAAGACTTCTGTTTTCAGAAGTCTTTTTCTACTGTTGTAAGCCTTTAACTTAATTTTTACTTTTTCTTTGTTTCTCGTCGACGGGGAAGGGGAGAGAAAATTTCAACTTTCTTAGGTGTGATGAAAGCTACTTTTCGTATATACTAGTGTGTGTACGAAAATTTGTGAGACATTCGTTTGTAAACACAAAAAATATTTACAAGTTGGTTTAAATCGACTTACTTTTCATTTAATTTCTTTTTATATTTTTCATTATTGATAATTTGATACGAACATTTGGTACTTGCTGTATTTAACTTCTCGTTACAATTATTTATTTATTAAAATTATTGTATTGTTTAAATTTATAATATTTTTGTATTTAATTTTATTAAATTTATAGTTGTAAACATCGTAGTAATGTAGTTCTTTTCAATAAAGTAAGCTGACGTTTGTTAATGTTTATATACTTTTATTATACGAGACATAATTGTGAGGAAACAATTTCTAATCTATAAGATCAAATTAGTTAAATGTCATAAATAGCTTGACTAAGCTATGAAGTGATTCATGCATTTGGATTGCTTTAGAAATTTGGAACATTAAATAGTTCTATTGAATAAATGGCACTAAATTCGGACGGCAATTGGAGTATGGATGGATATATGTTCTAAAATTTTGATAGATGTTCTTGTTTGATTGATTTTAAGTCAATAACTAAATTTTAAATGTCCAAAGTTTAAACTTTAGTGCAAATGATTGACATACGTGGACATGCGAAACTTGTATCACTTGAATAACGTATTTAGTACATCTTAAAATTTATTCCTCTTTTCCTTCGACTCTAGCATTGAAATATTTCATTACTTGTAAGAATGAATGCACACGATGAAAAGATTCCATTTCTTGCGAGTTCAAAATAGAAGCTAAAGTGAAGTATTAAAAATAAAAAATGTTTGTGTTTGAGTTTGATTTCATGTATTCCTGCAACTTTTCAAATGGAGCAAACACATATGTAGATGATAGAAGTGCACTATGGTCTTCCTTAATTTCTTGTATTCTGGTTGTTCCAAAAATGGTTCATTGAATTTTATCGATTGAGTCTCTAAATTGCGGTAGTGTATAGTTCACCGTTGTATTAGATATTAAGTATATTTTGAATAGGACTAGTCGATTTTTCAAAACTGTCATGTTGGGATCAAAGATTGTAACTTGCACCTTATTTCCCTTTTCTAGATAAAAAAACAGAATAATATCATTTTAGAAGTAATACATATGTAAGTGGGAAATTATAATTCGTAAATCGCCGGTACATAAAAAACAAGGGAATAATTGAGATGGTTGGTGATGAAGATAGGACATTTGATCAAAGCATACCATGATTTGCTAACTAACATACAACGAAGCACGGATTTGGAGGGCAGCTTTGAAACGATCTTAGATATGAGTTCTTCCAATATATACTTATTCATGGCTGTAAATTTGGTGCTTTGGGCCATTGCTTTTGCTTGGTCAAGAGCTTTCGGAGAAAAAAACCAAAACAAGTTGCACAAATCTTTCGAAACGGAGCTGGAGCAGAGAGCTTATCTCTCCACCACCACTTACGCAAGAAGCAACAGGGAGGTCCCCCTGGTCTCTAATTTCGCTCAGGCCTGCTATGTTGAACCTCGTGGTATTTCAAATTTAGAACTTTAAACAGAAGATCAATGCATGGAACTGAAATTTGTGTTTGATTGAATAAATCAAAGAAAATTTTTAACATAAAGAATCCTAAGCTTGATTAAAATAGACCAACAAAATATTTGAAAATAAGGAACTCTAAGATTGAGAGAGTACCTTTGTAGAGGAATGAGATTTGAGAGCTAAATGAGATTTCGTATATGAGAAATGAATTGAAGAAGTGTGGGACTAAAATTCAAAATGCTTCCTGCTGACCGCGACTAGATGACTGTGGCCGAGCATAGAAACAACCCAATTGTGTTCCTATTCAATGATGTTTATGACAATAGAACATCAGTTTCCAAGCACTGGCACGAGGTCCCTAAGCCCAACAATTCGCTCACCATTGGTTAGTACTATAACTTGAATCTTATTCTCCATCCAATTTTTCCATACCTCAAGAATCCTCCTCCTGCAAATAATCTACCAACAATTAGTTAAAATCGTATGCAATTCACATATTTTCAAAATATAAACAAAAATAAAGCAAAATTATAGAAATCAAAGCACAAGACTTGAAACTTCATCCATGAATTGGCTCGTAACTTCTACCCCGAAACCCACCCACCATAGATCTGAAGAATTCTTTCAAAATTGTAGAAACTTCGTGAGGCGCAAAGGACCTGATGTTGGTTGTGCTCAATTTTCTGAATGAGATAGAGGCAGAAGCTACTTAAGAAAATTATGGGGAGCGTATAGAGAGGGCAACCGAGTTTTTCATAGGTCAGTTAATGCATCTTGTGGATAGGGTCGGCAATTTTCCCCGCCCCGTCCCCGTGGGGCCCCGAATGGGGCAAAAAAATCAGTCTCGAATGGGTTGGTGGGGCGGGGTTCGCCGCCACGTCTCGGGTCGCGTCGCGGGGTGGGGCGGCCTTGCCTCAAACCTGTCCCGTGAAGAATAAAAAAAAA